GGGGGGGGGGGGCGCCGCCTCCTCTGCACCCCTTTCTGGGTACGATTCGAGAGGATTGAACAAACTTTACCCCGCCTGGGCTTCCCTTTTTAACTGTTGTTGGCGCCATAGCAGCGCCCAACTTCCAGCTGAGTCCCTCGGAGGAGGGAGGGGCCCCTCCTGGGACCCCCAAAGGCAGAGGGCACCCAAGTCCAGCTCCTCCAGTCTGGAATGCATGTCCCCGGAAGGTCAGGGTCAAGACAGCAGCCTTTCTCAGCACCCTCCCCGCCCCCAGGGCCCGGGACGGCTGGGTTGGGGGACCCTGAGCCTTCCCGCATGTATCTCCCTGCTTAGGGATCACCCGCCTCTTGGAGGCATCTGGGGCGAGGCTGTGAGTAGTGTCCCTTGCCCTGGCCCTAGTTTTCCGGAGCCCCCAGTCCCCAGGCTGCTGCCCCAGACCTTGCAGGAGGGGGAGGCAGCACTGGGGTGGGGGGGGCGAGTGGCTGCAGCCGGTGTTTCCAATTAACATTCCAAAATGGCCTCTCTGCTGGCAGCGGGCGGGCAGGCGGGGAGGGGATGGGAGGCCTGCGGCACCCTCGGGCGCAGGGCCCATGCCTAGCTGCAGGGCGCTCCACACTTCTTGTCCCTGTAAAGCCCCCAGTGGCCCTCCCACTCTGAGGGTCCAGTGCTGGGGGGGGTGTTGTGTTCTAAGGGGGGGTTCTGGAGAGGGGGAGCTGGGACCTCTCGTATGAACCTGCCCCTGCTGGGGGAAAGGACTGGCCAGTACTGTCACACTCCCCTCCCTGACTGTGGGTGGGGGTGGGAGGCAAGCTCTGGACTCCCAATCAGGAGGCTCAGGCCCTCTTTGCATCTAACCCAGACACAGCTCTGGCTTCTGCAGTCTCATCTCTAAGAGAGGTCTGCAGACCCCCAGGTGCTGGCCTGAGATGGGGTTGTCTGCTTACCTTTATCACTTGGCCATTATCGGGCACCCATGGGTGCCAGGTGCGCATAGGAGCTTCAGAAAGGGATGAGCTAGGGCCTGTCCTCAAGTGCCCTAGAGCTGGTCGTGTGCCTGGGCCCTGAAGCCTTATGAGTAAGGTTATGGAGCTCAGGCACGTTACCTCCCCTCCTGGGGCTTCAGTTTCCTCATCTGTGAAGTGGGTCATAGGACAGATGTGGAAAAGACGGGAGAAGGTACATGTGTAACGCACTTGGCACGGCCCTTGTTGGCTGTTGTCATGGTGCCTGACATGGGGACCTGTTACTGTCATTGGTCTTGTGCAGCCCATTTGGGCTGGTGGCATTGGCCGGTGGCATCAATAGTCTCTCACCCAGGCCGTCTTGCCCTGGCCACAGGTGGTTTCAACAAGTTCCAGACAGAGTACTCCGAGCACTGCGAGACCAACGTGGACAGCTCGTCCTCGCCGAGCAGCTCGCCGCCCACCTCAGTGCTGGGCCTGGGGGGCCTGCGCATCAGCTCTGACTGCTCGGACGGCGAATCGGACCGAGAGCTGCCCAGCAGTGCCACCGAGTCGGACGGCAGCCCGGTGCCATCCAGCCAACCAGCCTTCCCCGTCCAGATCCTGCCCTACCTCTACCTCGGCTGCGCCAAGGACTCCACCAACCTGGACGTGCTCGGCAAGTACGGCATCAAGTACATCCTCAACGTCACGCCCAACCTGCCCAACGCCTTCGAGCATGGTGGCGAGTTCACCTACAAACAGATCCCCATCTCTGACCACTGGAGCCAGAACCTCTCCCAGTTCTTCCCTGAGGCCATCAGCTTCATCGGTAGGTGTTGCTGTGCCCTGGGCAGGGTGGGTGGGCAGGCATGTCTAGGTGTGTACGGGACTCTGGGTGTCGCCCGCGCCTGACTGGGTACCTCTGGGCCTGTCGAGGCCTGTGAGTGCCCTGCATGTGCCAGCGTGTGCCCATGGGTGTACCCATGCCTAGCTGTGAGTCACTGAGGCCCTCGAGTTCTGAGCAGTCCCCTGAGTCCTAGGCACCTCATGGCCTCCACTTTGCAGCTTGGGTTTCTCTGGCTCTACTATGTCTAGCTGAGCGAGCTGAAACATCACTGCTCTCAGGCCTCCCACGGGTCTCTGTGGCTCTGCATCACGCCTCAGCACACGTGTCGCTCCAGGATGGGGCTGTCACAGTGCCTCTTTGGGCTTCACTGTGTACCTGAGGGGACTGATGGGTGGTCTGGAGCCAAAGGCCTACCCCAAACAAGCAGCTGTTGGAATGTGGGGACCCAGGGTGCTTTGGTGGGGCCAGATGCTCCCCGCAGCCGGTGGGGCTTATTGGGAGTAAAAGGGGTGTAGAGAGAATGTGGGGGAGGCTGAGGAAGGCCTCCCCCAGAGCACTGTGTTCTGCTGTCTGGCTTAGAGTCCTCCAAGCCTCCTACATCCCAGCCTCAGCTGACTTGGTCTTCATGAGTCGCCTTATCTCTGACCCCCCCATCCTGCTTCCTTTTCGGGTAGCTGCAGGCTGCTGGACTGCAGGTCATCTTCCCTGGTCTCTCTTCTTGCCCAGGGTGCGGGGCAAGGGCACAGGGGTAATGGAAACCCTGGGTTCCCTGAGCCGGGTGACCCTGTGTTTCTGCCCAGCCTCCCGTGGCAGGGAGGGGGTGGCCACGACAGTCTTCTCCTGCTGGCAGCGGTGTCCGGCGGAGGGCGTTTTGGTGTCAGCTGGGCTGGGCTAGCTTTAATAACAGGAAGTGGGAGGCTTCCCCGCCTCATCCGCTTACTGGGAACCAAAACTAGGTGCCTGGCTGGGAGGAAGGAAGGAAGCGGAGGCCTGGGGGAGGGGCTGGGGCTGCCGGGAGCTTCCCAGCTCTGCCCTTGAGGACCTGGCCCGTGGGGCTGTGGTGCCCCCTCAGCGTCTGTGCTGTTACCCAGTGAGGCAGGGGAGTGGGGGGGACCCCAGATTCCTGGGGCTGAGCCTGGCTTGTGAATGCCTGTCTCTTTCTTGAGGGCCCCTGTCTGGGGAGGGGACAGAACAAGGGGGTAAGGCAGGGGGAGCATTATTGCCCACTTGATGAGTGAAGGAATTGAGGCCCAAGCATCACAGGACACGGTGGGACAGGATCCAGCCCCAGCCCCCCCACAGCTCAGCCACACCCTGGGAGGGCTAAAAATAAAGCCAGCGGAAGTGGTTTCGCTTTGGATCACACGGGAGTGGGTTTGGGGGCCAGGCGTTGCCCATATCCTGGTGTGTCACCACTGGAGGCTCATCTCCCCCACCCCCTCCTGCCCCCAACCTCAAGGTCAGACCACTAGGCCACAACATCTGTCTCTTCCCCTGCTGGTCTTGCCCCCAGTCCGTCCCTGAGTCTTGATGAAGCACCTACTGCATGATTAGCCCTGGGTACTCTCAACTGGGGATGGGAGGGGAAGCTCTGCCAGGCTGCAGGCAGTGAGCACCAGACCAGAAACAGTCTGTGAACCAGTGGGTCATCCTGTGGGAGTGCACTGATTTAGTGCCGACTGTATGCCTGGCTCCCAGGGCTGCCTCTTGCTAATCTGTGTCCCTGGCACAGCTATGGCACAGAGGGGAAGGGGGTGGAAATTACAGGGCAGAGTTGTTCAGTGCTTCGACCAGTATTTATTAAGCTCCTACTGCATATGAGGCAGGGGAGTCAGAGCCGCACAGCGGGGGTGGGGGGGTTCCCGCCGGGAGTGGTGCGGGCAGGATTGGCAGAGCCTGGTTGGCACTGGGCCCACTTGAGCAAATCCCACTCCTGAAGCCTCAGGCAAGGCCCTCGTCCCTCCCTGGCTATTCAGAAGCAGGGCACAGCCACGTGCGGGGCCAGGGCCCCTATCCCCTGGTAGAGGGGGGTGCTCCCGCGGTGCCTGTCATGGGCTGGTCATGGTGGGTGCTTTGACTTACAAGGATCCTCTGTGTGGCCTTGGGCTTGTCACTTTGTCTCTGTGTCTCTTTTCTCATTTATAAAATGAGCTTACTAGCTATGGTGCAGGTGACCTGAGAGGTGCAGGTGACAGCCTCAGCTCACTTGAAGCACACCCTTGCAGCAGCAGGACCAGCGGTGGTCACAGTCGTCTCACGGTCACTCGTGTTCGTGGAGCCCTCACTTGGCTCGGTTCCTCATAAGAGCGCTCTTCCTACGGGGCTTGTTCTATAGATGAGCAAACTGAGGCACAGAGATGTCCATCGACTGGGCGCTAACGCGTGGCAGAGCCCTCTCTGCAGTCGCGCTCTTGACCTCTGCCACATTGTTGTCCCACCCATGTGGGACTTTACCAGGTCTCTAGAGAGAGAGAAGCCATGCCACCCTCTGTGCCCCAGCCCATCTGGGGCTCCTGGGAGGAGGCGCCCTCCTGACCCTTGCCCATGTGTTTCAGATGAGGCCCGCTCCAAAAAGTGTGGCGTCCTTGTGCACTGCCTGGCGGGCATCAGCCGCTCGGTGACGGTCACCGTGGCCTACCTGATGCAGAAGATGAACCTGTCACTCAACGACGCCTACGACTTTGTCAAGAGGAAAAAGTCCAACATCTCACCCAACTTCAACTTTATGGGGCAACTGCTGGACTTCGAGCGGACGCTGGGGCTGAGCAGCCCGTGTGACAACCACACCCCCAGCGAGCAGCTCTACTTCTCCACGCCCACCAACCACAACCTGTTCCCGCTCAACACCTTGGAGTCCACGTGAGGCCAGGGCACAGGTGGGCAGGGAGCCGGGCCCTCCCCGGCCCTCCCCAGGGGGCCTGAGGAACTGGACATTGCCTGGCCCAGAGGCCCCAGGCTGACTGGTGCTGAGCTCCCCACACCGTCACGGGGCGGAGCCCACAGCAGGGTCTCCCTGTGTGGGACTCTCCAGAGAGGCCCTGGGCGCTCAGACATGGGGCTGCGACACGGGGCCACAGGAGTCCACGGGGCCTCGTCCTGTCCCCAGGACACTCCTTCCTGCTAATGGCCCAGCCAGTTTGGCTGTTTTTAAAGACATCTACGGACTTGAGTTTACTTTTTACTTTTGGCAGGTAAATCCAAGCTCCCCGGAGCACAGAGATTGTTCACGGTCTTCTCGATTTTTTTAATGAAAAGTGTTATCTTCAGGTGACATGCAACCGTGGATTGTACAGACCAGTGTTTCACCCCTTTCTTGATCCTGCGAGAGAGAGAAGTGTTCTCAGTTCTGTTTTTCTTTCTATTTCCAAAAGCAATGATTGGTTTCTTTGTTTTCTTTTTTTTTTTTAATGGAAAAGACAAACCCCGTGTTGATCTTGACCAAATGCATTTTGCACACGTGTGACGCCTAATTCTGCAGTGGGCCCTTCTCCAAGGGGTGGACCCCAGTCTCGCCCACACCTCCCAGCCTGGCCCGGCCAGCAGGGCCTGCGTTGGTCTGGGATGACAGCTGCAGGTTGTGGTGCATGGGCTAGACCGGTGGGTTTTGCATTCTGTGCCCTCCCAACTGCCCCTCAGGTGGTCCCTGCAGACTCCCCAAGACAGGAGACTGAGGCCCTGCAGCTGTCCTGCCAGCTCTGGGGCCACAGGGACTGCCAAGCAGTAGCATTAGCCCTCTGGGCTTGGCCCCTAGGAGGGCCTGGGCCCCGGGCCCTTTTCTATACATACCCACGACTTCTGTCTCTTTCTCTCTGTTTGTTTGTAACTGAGAGTGGAGGCCCAGTGGCTGGGGGAAGCTCAGGTGGGGACCAGCCCTGTCTCCCAAGTTTGCGTCCCTCACCCTGGCTGTTTTGCTTTTGTTCAGCTGCCACGCCCAGCCCCTCTGTCCCAGTGGGAGCCTGCCCAGTGCTCACCTTGCCCATGCCTTCTAGGCCCAGGAGCCTCGTACCCATGCCATTTCCGTTGCAGGGCGGGCGCAGAGGGGCCAGGGCAGACAAGTGGACAGGTGTGAGGCTCGTCCTCCACGCCCCACCCCCAGCATCCACAGAACAAAGCCACGGATTCCGCTGTCCTCGTTTTGTTGCTCCAACCTCAGTTCTACCAGGTGTCAGGACTGCACAGGGGCCGGGGCGGGGAGCGGTGGGGCCAGGTCCCTGAGCAAGCCCAGCCGCGAGGCCGCGGCCCCTCTGCTCTACTGCATCTTACCTCACGGGGTTGTTTTCAGGGATTCTTCAAGGCAGCAGATTCAAATCTTGCCACAGTCGAGAAATTGACAAAAAGCTTCCATGCTGTACATGGTTCTTTCTCTCTCTTTTTTACTTTTAAAATGAAAAACCCAGAAAGATGCATCAGATTTGTGTAAATGAGAGTATGCCAAGAGGGGGCCGGTTTTGCTTTATGACCTTATGAAGGAAAATTTGTGACCCTACATATATATACACACACACACATATATATATCCCGGGCCAGCAACGGGACTTTGTTTATATTGCAAATAAATATTATTTTTTCTTTAAATGAGTCGTGGTGTCTGATGAGGGCCAGGGGACACTGGCCAGCATCCTACCGTCTGTTCTGTGTGAAGTGGTGGCTGGGATCTGCCGGGCACTTGCTTTGACTGGTCAGAGGTGCCCACAGCCGGGAGGAGATGCCACACCTCTGGGAACAGCTGGGTGTGGGCATTCCCGCAGCCCCGAGCACTGGCAGGCCGGGGCATCTGGGCTTTGCTGATTGGTTGACAGGAGAAGGCTTGGAGAGGCTCTGTGGACCAAGGTCCCGAAGCTGAGCCCCCGCTTACCCAGAATGTCCTCAGTCTGTGCTTGGACGCTGCCCAGGCTACCACAGGGCTTTGTCCCCTGCAGCCCCAGGGTCCTGACCCTTTCTCTTGTTTCTTCAGTAGGCGGGACGGGGTGCACATTTATCACCCTCTCTCCCCAACCCTGCAACCTCTGGGACACCAGTGGGATGTGAAACCTGGTCAGGGACGGGTCAGCTGCTTTTCTCCTTTAGAGCAAGGTGACCTCTGGCAGGTCCCTCAGCCTCCCTGAGCCTGTTCCCATCTCTGCCAAGTGGGGCCAATCTCCCAGACACCCAGTGCCCTTTGTGTCCATTTCCTGATCTGGGCCTGGGCCTATAGGGAGAAATCAGCCATCCACTCAGCCCTTCTGGGGCTCAAGGCCGGGCCCTGGGAGGGAGCAGGGAGCAGGAAAGGGACCTAGTGAAGGATGGTCACCATACCTGGGGTGTGAGGCCCCCAGTGGGTGATAGCCCCATGTTACAGATGGGGAAACAGGGGCTTCAGAGGGGCTATGTCATCTTCATCTCTAGCTGGATTGAATGACCCCCAGTCAGGGACTGGGAGGCTTGGGAGGCTTGGGTGCTTACTCAGTTTCCCCATCTCTCCCTCTCACATGACTTGGTCTCTTCTGTGTGACCAGCAGTGGACTGGCCCTGATGGGCGGGTAGGTAGGTAGGCAAGGCTTGGAGGCGGAGGGGCACTCAGCCCCTTTCTGACGACTCTCCCAGCTGAGCTGTGCAGGCCCTGCTCTCTCCTTGCCCCATCTCTGCCTGGAGGGACCCCTGCCTGACCAGAACAGTCACACCTTTGAGCATATGAGGAGGGGCAGAGGGCAGGTTCTGTAAGCAAAGGGACCAGGGTTGAGTCCCAACTGTGCAGCCGCCAGCTCCTCACCCCTGTCTCTCACTTAGAATGGGGGACCCGCTGTGCGGCCAGCAGGCCTGTGGGGGGTGGGGGTTCCTGCAGCCTTGGCGAAGGGGGGGGTGCCGCTTTGGCCCTGGCACTTCCTCAGGGCCCTGATCCTTCTGTGCCAGGGGCGGGCAAGGGGTGGGAGCCTGAGCAGGCAGAGACTGGGCCTTTGTTCCCTCTCACTGCCCTCAGCCAGGGTTGGGGAAGCCCGCGGGTGCCCGGCTGGGGGCTGGGCCCTTGACAGGCTGAGTAAGTGCCTGACAGTGCCAGCGTGCCCAGGCACAGGATGGAGGGAGGCAGCCCTCAGGAGAGAGGCCTCCCCCACAGGGCCCTCCCCAGGCCAGGTGGCCTATCTGACCCTCAGTGTCCTCATCTGTAGAAATTTGCACCTCAGCACTGTGCCTGGCCGGGGTTCCCTTCTGGTGCAAACAGGGCCAGGTCCTAGCTGGGTGGCTCACTTCGTGACCTTGGTTCCTCTGTGACCTTGGGTCCTCACTCTGTGACCCTGAGCCCTCACTCTCTGACCTTGGGTGAGACCATGCTTACTCTGGACGCTGTTTTCACCCTGGGTCCCTCCGATGTGGCTCCTTTATTCCACCTGTTCCTGCTCTGCTGTCCCCACCCCCACCCCGTGGGCCCTGCGCAGCCCAGGCCGCCTTTGGCAGAGGCCCTCGGTGTCTGTCCCCCGAGCTCCCGGATACCAGCTCTCTGGGACAGAATCGGCTTTTTCTCTGTGGCCTCTGTCCCATCTCTTTCCCCCTGACCTTCCTGACCCTTTGCCTCCCTTTGGGCCCCTGTTTCTGTCTCCATCTTAGCCCAGATCCCTAGAGACCCCCTCATCTGTTTCTTAGCCACTGCTTAGCATCTCCCCAGAGGAGGATCTGGGCCACCCGCCCGCGCTCCCGCGTCCCTCCCACAGCCGCTTCCGGTGCCGCTGGGCCATCCCGGGGGTGGGAACACGGCCCAGGGCAGCTCAGTGATGTCAGGCTGGGCGGCGGGGTGATGGGGCCCTCGCTTGTCCTCTGACAAATGAATCAGGTGTAACAGCAGCGGTGACTAAGGCCGGACACAAGAAAGGACTTGTGGCTCCGCAGAGCAGTAACCTTGCGGGAGGTCTGAGGAGACCGCAGAGACGTGAACGTTTCCCTAGGGTGGGTCTACTCTGGGCCTGGTGGAGGGAGGCAGCCCCGGGGAGCGGCCACCCACAGCCCCTCCCGAGTGCAAACAGTCTTTCATCCCCATGAATGGGGCAGGGAAGGGGGGCAGCTAGCCCACGATGGCACCTGCCCCTCCCCTGCCCCCGCCACTGCCTGACACTCGGGCCTGCCCTCCACCCTGTCTGCACTGGGGCAACATCAGCCCCCACAACCAACCCTTAGCAGGAGCCAGAGACCTTGTGGGAAGCAGGTGTGCCTGGAGGGAGGGTGCTAACGTGCTAACCTCTGGGCACCCCAGGCCCTGGTTGCATGGGGTGGGGGGGGTCTGGTCTGGTCTTTGACACATTTCCCCTGCTTGTTCTGGGCCTCATGTGGGCACACCCCTCCCATCTCTTCCCAGAGGCCTCCTGGGGTCACTCCCATCTGACTCCTGGTACCTGGCAGACCTGAGAGCCCAGGGAGGGTTCCAAGTCCCCCTCCCCCCGTCCAGATGGGGAAAGTGGGGCTCAGATGGGTGTTGTAGAGTGGGAGAGGGTAGAAGTGAGGTTCCCCACCCTGCTGCCCTGAGCCTCATCGGGGTGGGAGCCTTCTCCCCCTGGCCCTGAGAAGGACCGGGTACACATGCATGGACACGTGCACACACACACGGCCCCCTCATTTCTCAGGCAGAACAAGCCCAAGCAGGTCTCTCGGTGATAGAGGAGCCGCCTGCCTCTGACTCTAGCCTCCTGTCATCGGGCGTGGCCTGAGTGAGGTCATCTCTTCCCAGGCATGGCCATTACAGACCATCATTAGCAACTCTCCAGAAGTAAGAGGAGGCCTCGGTCCCATTGTCTCTGGCTGAGTCAGATGAGCCCCGACAGGCGACACGGGACTCAAGCCCCTGCCAGCACCCGCTTTACTGAGGCAGCCAGGCCCTTCCCCACCCAGGCTGCCCACCACACACCTGCAGGGCCCCGCATCCATCCTGCAGCTTCTGGGCGTCCGTAGACTCTCCATTGCCCCCTCCGCACCCACACCTCCTCCTCTGACCCAGGTCCTCCCGCCCCTGCTGCAGGCACAGCAGCAGCTGCAGCCCCTGCCCCAGGGCTGGATGGACCGGGGGAGCCTGGTTGTGGTCCAGGGAACCGGGAGCCCTGCAAGAGCTTTAGGCCCAGGGCGGACAGGGTCTGCTGTTACTAGAAAGATCCCTGCTGCCAAGTAGAGAATAGCCTGAGGGGCAAGTGTGCAGGGCAGGGGACAGTGAGGAGGCAGGGATGGTTGTTCAGGGGGGACGATGGACGCCGCACCTCTGTGGCACCGGAGGAGGGGGGAGAGGAGGACCAGCGGGACGGAAGCCTCATGGGAGGCCGAGCTCATGGTGTGAGCAGAGGGTCCCATCTCGTCCGAATCCGCATCCATGGCCCGAATGCCAGCAGCCACGCCAAACAGAAGGGTGCGTCTCAGCCAGGACGGGTGTGGGTCTGTGGTGGAATCCTGGCCACTGGGGAGGGAGTCCCCACTCCCATGCCCCCACCCCTCACTGTGCACCCACACACCAAACACCCAGAAAGAAACAGTCCTCCCCCATCCTGGAGACTCCTTCCCAGGACAGCACAGCCCTGGTGGTCGCTCAGAGCCTCAGTTTCCTCGTCTGTACAATGGGGATACGAATTGTGGCCCTGAGAGGGGAAAGCAGGACGAAGGGCCTTCCCCTCAGCAGAGGCCTTGGGAATGTGAGTCCTGGTGATGCGGATTTAACTGTGACCGACGCTGCAGAGGGCACCTCCTGGGACAGCCACTGCCGGTTCACTCTGTGAGCTAGGCCAGGTCTTCCCCATCCAGCCTTCAGGTTCCCTGTTTGCACTGGCGAGAAATGAGAGTAGTGACCCTGGGAGACTGGTCCTCAGATCTGGGGCTTAGTGCTGTCCCAAGGGCTGGACAGCCTGGCATCAGGGGTAGCTAGTGCCAGCCTGAGGGGAGGAGGCCAGAGTCCAGGGCTGGGGCCCTGGCTGGGGAGGGTGGGCCAGGCCCGGCCCCCTCCACCCCAGCAGACCCCCTTGCTCAGCCCCTTGAGGACACTTGCTCTTGCTTCCACCTGCCCTGCCTCCCTGCCCAGGGGACTCCCCGCAGGGCCCCTTGGTCCTGAGGCTCAGAGAAAGTCAGAGTGCTGACAAGTCAGAGGGCCCCCAGGCGAGGCCCGGCCCTGGTCACCGCAGCACCGTCCGCCCCTCTCTGCTCCAGGAGGGTTTGTGCATGGATCCTAGGTGTCCCCCTGGGGCTGCAGGAAGGGCCTGGCCTGTCGGCTCCCTCCCTCTGTCTTCGCTCAGCCTTCCTGCGTTGCTCGCCCAGAGACCCTCCTCACCAGCCCCTCCAGTCCCAAGTCCTGCCAGAGCCCCGGCACCACACTGAGGCGAAGGTGAGCCTGACACTGAGGCAGCTGCCCTCTCCCCCTCAGAGCCCAGGCAGGGGCCCGGGGCTGGCGCTCCTGGTGGGGGATCGGCAGCCGCAGAGGCCCGGCCACACTTTCCTCAGGCCCCGAGCCAGGGCCTGCAGCCCTTGCCCCGCCCCGCCTTGGCTGCCCACGCTCAGGTTGCCTGGGTTCTTCCCTGGCCCTCAGCAGCCCTGGTCTGGGACTCTGGGTGTAGTTAGTGTTTTTTCATTTCAGGCTCTTT